TATATATATATATATATAAATATGCATATACATACACACACATATATACACACACACACAGAACCACCAGGCTTTTTAGACTCTGTTGAAGTTCGTGAGATACTCACACCTGAGCAATGCATATGACTTCATTCTCCATATGAGAGGCACCTGCCATTGATAAAAAAGCCTTTCTATAAAAGTAATAAATAAATGTCAGTAGTTCAGTGCTTTCCCTTTGTGTAATTCAATTGTTATAACACGTAACAAATTTTTTTTTTGTTTTGTTTTGTTAAATTTGTATGTTTGTATTGTTTGGGTTTTTAATCTAAATCTGGTTTAACTCCATGTCAACAGCTCCTTTAGAAATAATATTCCAGGACAAAATGTGACATGCTGAATACTTATTCCCCCTGCTGTATATGCTTTTCTATACCGTGACTCAATGAGCAAATCATTCTGATCTTGCATACGCAAGATGTCTTCTGGATATTTCATCCCTTCCAATGACTTTTCCATCATCTCAACAACAACAAAAGTACATCAAAGGGGCAAATGTCCCCTCTATTTCCTCACCAGCAGTCACTGACATCCATAGTAGGAACCAAAGATACCATGGAAGTCAATGCCTGCTGCTTTCGAATGCTCTTCAAAATATCTGCTCTTGTGTTCAACAGAAGAAAGAAACTCACACAGGCTTGGAACAAGTAAATAGGAGTGAATTTTGTTGAGAATGTTCGAATTTTCAATCTGTATACCTTCAATTGCTTTTTAAAAAGAATAATAGCATTATACCAGCCCAATAACATGCTGAATGTCCTACAAAATGTACCCACATAGCAAAATTTTCTGGTCCACTCAATCAGCTTTTGCTTGGCCCACATGCCACAGTGAATTATGGTACATGATTGGACCTAGTCTGGCTTCCATTAAGGGCTGAACATGGACCATATCTGGGCCAGTTTTCAGCAAAGTTAATAACCCATAACCAGGCCAGATATGTTGATCTGTCACGACTGCAATGAATTCGATAAACCCATGAAGCATTCCGCTTTATGGCTGCACTTTTTTTCGAAGCCACCCCAATTGGTAGATTTTTGTTCCTTTCTCAAAAATACTTTTAAATGTATTTTATAAGTGGGTCAACATAGGTCAAACCTGCGTGGCCCACATTAATTTTTAACTTCTGGGCCAGATACTACATTTGATCTGTTTCAAGTCTTATATGCCGCCTTAAAGATGGTGCCACCTATGCCAAACCTGGGCCATGTTTGGCCCACATGCTGTAGGCCAGTGCCGGATGAATGCCTGCTGTGCTAGCTTTATGCCAAATCTGGGCCAGAATTCTTTACTACCTGGGAAATATTAATATAGTATTTGTATTTATTTTTGTTTATTTGTAAAGCCTCTTTGACCAAAAAGTGACTGCATTTTGTTTTCTGGGAAACTCACGTAGGCCATCTATTACACGTCTATTGAAGTATAAAAGTGGGAAGCCTTTTTGAGGTAAGGAGAAGTAAATGAATTATTTGGCCATTGTTTATTGTCAAGTTTTTACACAGGAGTCACTGCAAGTTTCTTTTCGTGCTGCACTAGCGGCGCTCGAACACACGGGGAGGCAACAGACCCCAGATCAGACTTCAGTCAATGAAACACTTGTAGGAGGAGCTGCTTCTCATTCTTAAAGTCTTTAACATTTAAGAGCACTCAAGCGGACTGTATACTCGAGATTATCCGCGTGACGAGCTGTCGAGTTTGACATTCTCGAACCCGAATTAAAACAAAAATGGATTGTCGCTAAAATAGGCTTTTAAGATTTATTCAAACTTCACGTCGGGGTTTATTTTTTTGCGCGGAGATTATTAAACCGAGAGCAACGAGGACTTAACCACAATGTGAAGGTTTCTGTGACGAAAATGTTACTAAAGGTTTTAAACAAAACAAATTGGAAGTCATCGTGGACAGTATTTTTGTCCATAACGTGTGTATAAATGCGAATCTGAGAGGAAAAGTGTGTGTTTTTGCCCAATGCAGCGGAACAGCAGTCTCGTTTCCATTTGGCTTCAGCTCGAGCTGTGCGCGATGGCTCTTCTCCTCACTAAAGGTGAGTTTTAGTCATAAAACTATAGTTAGACCAAGTTTCCAAATAGATATATTCACAATTAAATGTTCATATGAATGTTTACATGAATAATAAATCTAATAAGGTGTAATGTAAATAAAGCAACACTAAAATTGTGTATTAATATTCATAAGGCTACAGAGTCAAAACTATAGTAGCCTAATTAGTAAACACTACAGTATAAATACTTGAACTATATAGCTGCTGTGGACATACCACTATTGTAATAGTTTTGTAAAACTGCAGTGTATATTATACTGCAATACACCACAGTTTACTGAAGTAAACCACTAAAGTATTCTATAATATTAGTTTATCAGTTCACTATAGTTAAATAGTTCAATTGTTATTTTAAAACTATAGTTAGATAAGTTACCAAAATAGATACATTCACTATTAAATCTACACACAACCAATTACTTCAGTGGTAAATCTAAGATATAATGAATAAAAGCCACACTTAAATTGTGTATTAATATTCATAATGCTATTACTGAGTAGCTCACAGGAAACGATAAAGTAGCAGCCTAATTTATATTAAATACCACAGTATTTTTGAACCATACTACTTGAATTATATAGCTGCTGTGGAAATTCAACAATGATGGTAGTTTTAGAGAACTGCAATGTATATTATGCTTTAATACACCGCAGTTTACCGAAGTTAAAACACTAAAGTATTATACTGTATATATTATTACAGTTTATAAGTTCACTATAGTTAAATAGTTGAATTTGTTATCCTAAAACTATAGTTAGATAAGTTACCAAATCGGTATATTCACAATTAAATGTACATATGAGTTACTTAATGAAAAATCTTAGCAGCAATGAATAAAAAGCACTAAAATTGTGTATTAATATTCATAATGCTACTGAGTAGCTCACATTAATCAATACTATAGTAGCCTATTTTATAGTAAACACTAGTGTTTTTGAACCAAACTATAGTAAAATACTTGACTTACTTTGTAGTCGCTGTGGAAATACAACTATAGTAATAGTTTTCTAGAGCTGCAGGTTATATTATACTGTAATACATCACAGTTTACTGCAGTAAAACAAGCTACAGTATAGTTTATCAGTTCACCATAGTTAGTTCAATTGTTATTATCATAAAACTATAGTTAGATAAGTCGCCAAAATCAACACATTCACAATTAAATGCACACACAACTAATTACTACAGTGATAAATCTAAGATATAATAAATAAAAGCCACACTTAAATTGTGTATTAATATTCATAATGCTATTACTGATTAGCTCACAGAAAACAATAAAGTAGCAGCCTAATTTATATTAAATACCACAGTATTTTTGAACCATACTACTTGAATTATATAGCTGCTGTGGAAATTCAACAATGATGGTAATAGTTTTAGAGAACTGCAATGTATATTATGCTTTAATACACCGCAGTTTACCGTAGTAAAACACTAAAGTATTATACTGTATATATTATTACAGTTTATAAGTTCACTATAGTTAAATAGTTGAATTTGTTATCCTAAAACTATAGTTAGATATGTTACCAAATCGGTATATTCATAATTAAATGTACATATGAGTTACTTAAGTGAAAAATCTTAGCAGCAATGAATAAAAAGCACTAAAATTGTGTATTAATATTCATAATGCTACTGAGTAGCTCACATTAATCAATTCCACAGTAGCCTGTTTTATAGTAAACACTAGTGTTTTCGAAACACACTATAGTAAAATACTTGACTTACTATGTAGTTGCTGTGGAAATACAACTATAGTAATAGTTTTCTAGAGCTGCAGGTTATATTAAACAGTAATACACCACAGTTTACTGCAGTAAAACACTAACAGTAGACTATTTGTGCAAACACAAAAATCAAACTCTCTTCTGTCATCTTTTATGAAAACATCACTGAAAAAGACTAAAACTGGGATCATGTGAATGCAAACGTAATACTTTTCATGTCTCAAATTCTATTGGTTAATGCTTTGATTGATTTCTCATTGGTTGTAACAGGAGAAATACGGTGTTACTGTGACGCTCCCCACTGCGTGGCCACTGGTTACATGTGCAAGTCGGAGCTGAACGCCTGCTTCACCCGCACCTTAGACCCCCAAAGCACGAACTCTCCTTTATCTCACGGGTGTTACGACCCTATGCTGAACTCTGGGAAAACTTGCCACTCGGAGTCAACCTTTGACCGCATTCATGGCTCTGCCACGCTTCAGTGTTGCCATGAGGATATGTGCAACTACAGAGGCCTGCAGGATCTCACATACAGAGGAAGTGAAATTCATGGTATGTCTTTTCTTATTACTAGTAGAAAGCAGACAATATTTTATGACTGCATTGAAAGGGGTAGTTCATGCAGAAATGTAAATTTTCTGATAATTTACTCAGCCGCAGGTCATCTAAGATTACTTTTTTCTTCAGTAGGACATTAACGAAGGTTTTTAGCTGAATCTGTGGTCCTTGGTGATTCATGTAATGTCAGGGAATGGATTTCAGTTACAAAAAAATCTATACATTTTTTGGCACATATGACTAAATCTGCACAAACCCTGGCTTTTGTTTTTCAGCGATATGAATACAATTTAAATAGATCATTCGATAGATTAATTGGGGTAATTTTGTAAGGGTGTGAGTCATTTGCATAAAAAAAAAAAGAAAATTGCAAGCAAAAAAAAAAAAAGTATGACCTAAAGTAAAATGTACACTCACCGGCCACTTTATTAGGTACACCTTACCAGTACCAGGTTGGACCATCTTTTGCCTTCAGAACTGCCTTAATCCTTCGTGGCATCGATTCAACAAGGCACTGGAAATATTCCTGTTGATTTTGGTCCACATTGACATGATAGCATCACGCAGTTGCTGCAGATTTGTCGGCTGCACATCCATGATGCGAATCTCCCGTTCCACCACATCACCAAAGCCTCTCTATCGGTTTGAGATCTGGTGACTGTGGAGGCCGTTTGAGTACAGTGAACTCATTATCATGTTAAAGAAACCAGTCTGAGATAATTCGCGCTTTATGACATGGTGCGTTATCCTGCTGGAAGTAGGCGACAGACGATGGGTACACTGTGGTCATAAAGGGTCAGCAACAATACTCAGGTGGGCTGTGGCGTTGACATGATGCTCAATTGGTTCTAATGGGCCCAAAGTGTGCCAAGAATATATCCCCCACACCATTACACCACCACCACCAGCCTGAATCGTTTATAAAAGGCAAAATGAATCCATGCTTTCATGATGCTGATCCCAAAATCTGACTCTACCATCCGAGACTCGTCAGCCCAGGCATCGTTTTTCCAATCTTCTATTGTCCAATTTTGGTGAGCCTGTGTGAATTATAGCCTCAGTTTCCTGTTCTTAGCTGACAGGAGTGGCACCCGGTGTGGTTTTTTTTGCTGCTGTAGCCCATCCGCACTGCAGCAGATGGTTTGACCATGTCTACATTGAGTTGCTGCCATGTGATTGGCTGATTAGAAAGTTGCGTTAACAAGCAATTAATTGGACTGGTGTACCTAATTAAGTGGCCGGTGAGTGTATAGTATTTATTGTATTAATTAAGTAAAATTACTGTACAAAATTAATGTACAAATGCTTTAAACTCTCTCAAAATGCATTTAAAACAAATGCAAATGATAAAGTTTCCGTCAGTTACAACCACAAATCTCATATTCTGAACTGTTGTGCTGATCAACTATAATCCCAATACTGCATATCCTGCAATTCTACATTGTATATTTGATTTTATATATATATATGTGTGTGTGTGTGTGTGTGTGTGTGTGTGTGTGTGTGTGTGTGTGTGTGTGTGTGTATACAATTGAAGTCAGAATTATTAGCCGCCCTTTGAATTTCTGTTTTCTTTTTTAAATATTTCACAAATTATGATTAACAGAGTAAGGACATTTTCACAGTATGTCTGATAATATTTTTTCTTCTGGAGAAAGTCTTATTTGTTTCTTTTCAGCAAGAATAAAAACAGTTTTGAATTTTTTAAACACCATTTTAAGGTCTAAATAATTAGCCCCTTTAAGCTATTTTTTTCCGATAGTCTACAGAACAAACCATCGTTATACAATAACTTGCCTAATTACCCTAACCTGCCTGATTAACTTAATTAGCATAGTGAAGCCTTTAAATGTCACTTTAAGCTGTATAGAAGTGTCTTGAAAAATATCTAGTCTAATATTATTTACTGTGATCATGGCAAAGATAAAAGAAATCAGTTATTAGAGATGAGTTATTAAAACTATTATGTTTAGAAATGTTTTAAAGAAATCTCCTCTCCGTTAAACAGAAATTGGGGGAATAAATATATAGTGTGGCTGATAAATCAGGGGGGCTAATAATTCTTACTTCAACTGTATGTTGTGCAGCCCAAATGTCACTAGATGTACTTACACTATTTATATTACAAAATGGCATAGAATAGTGCATAAGTATGTGATTTAAGACGCACAATGGGGTCTGCCAATGGGGTAAGTGAAATAATCTTTATTTTGCTTATTTTGCTGACCCCATTTGGAAATAATTTGGCTTGTTTTAAGAAAAAACTCACTATTTTGAATTATTATTTTTTAAAGTCATAACAATATTTTTCTTATCTATAAAATGTTTCTTTTTAATTTAAGATTTCTTTTAGAAATTTGGACTAGAAACAAAACAAAAACTCGAGGTAATAAAAGCTGATTTTTTTTTTGTGCAGTGTAGAGATTTCTTTTCCACACTCCATACCAGTTGGTGGCAGTAATGCACAGAAATGCTAAAAGAAGCAGAAGAACTATTGTCCACTTTTTAAAATCCAAATTTTGTTCCAAAGAAATCCAAAAAGGTTTTTATGCAGTCTCTCAATCTATTCTTCAATTCCTTCATAACTCTTAGCCTTAACTCTGCTTTGTTGTCATTCAGAAAAACGGCAACACCCCCCTGAAGGCAGCCGTCATGTGATTGCACGTTTACAGGAAATCCCTTCATCAAAGGAGGTTTGGTTCCGTGCTGCCGTCATCACCGTCCCCATCGCCGGCGGCCTCATTCTGATCCTCCTAATAATGTTGGCTCTGCGAATGCTCCGCAGTGAAAACCGTAGACTGCGTCAACAGCGACGGGAAATGCTATCTCGCCTCCATTACAGCTTTCATGGCCAACACCTCACCAAAAGCCACGTGGCCAAGCTGGACTTGGAGTGTATGGTTCCTGTAGGAGGCCACGAGAACTGCTGTCTGACCTGTGACAAGATTCGACAGTCTGACCTCAGCAGCCAAAGACTTCTATCATTGGTCAACTGGGGAAAGTACAGCAACCGAGGAAAGCTGGAGTTTGTGTGATGGCTTTGGTTTCCTTCGTGGGACTCGCCTGATGTTATTTTGAACCCTTCTTAAGGAAGTACAACTCAGAAGAGAACACTTGAAAGCGCTAATCATACGGTTTGCTGCTGGAGAAGCACTTTACTTGAATTAGAGACTTGGGGACTGCTTGTATTATAGGCTGTGATGAGGAGCGGCTTTATGCTGGTATTTTATTTTATCACCCGAAGGATTCCAAAAATACATTTTGCACTTTTTCTGTATAAAGAATGTTTGGTTGATTGCTTTAATAGGGGTACAAGAACACTCACAGTGAAAATGTGCAAACTTTGTACCGTATTTACTTGTAAAAACAACATTGAAATAATCAAAAAAAATAATTACCTCGTCATTTTCTCTTAATCATATGGAGCCAGATCAGTCTGAAAAGTAATACATCTACTAAATATTCATACATCCGCAACGCAATTTACATTTTCAAAATCCAATTCGTGAGTTGAAAACACAATTCGTAAACACACAAATCCAATTTGTAAATTTAAAACACGATTCAAAAATGTAAAAAACATTAAAAAATACACAAAAAATATTCGTAAATTCAAAACACGATTTGCAAATACACAAATCCAATTTGTAATTTCAAAACACGATTCAAAAATACACAAATCCATTTTGTAAATTTAAAACACGGTTCAAATATTACACAAATTCAATTTGTGAATTCAAAACACGAGTCAAAAACATAAACCCAATTCGTAAATTAAAAACATGATTTAAAAATTACAGAAATCCAATTCGTAAATTAAAAACACAAGCCAATAATATACAAATTTAAGTTGTAAATGACAAAAAAACTATAAAAAAATACACAAAAATTATTCGTAAATTTAAAACACGATTTGCAAATACACAAATCCATTTTGTAAATTTAAAACGATTAAAAAATTACACAAAACTAATTTATGAATTTAAAACATGATTCAAAAACACAAATTAATTTTGTAAATTTAAAACACAATTCAAAAATTACACAAATACAATTCGTAAATTCAAAACACAATTCAAAAACAGAAATTTAAATAGTAAATTTGAAACACGAGCCAAAAATACACAAATCCAATTTGTAAATGACAAAAAAAGATTTAAAAATGCACAAAAATTATTCGTGAATTGAAAACACGATTCACAAATACACAAATCCAATTTGTAAATTGAAAACACGAGCCAAAAATACACGAATCCAATTCGTAAATTCAAAACACGATTCAAAAACAAGTTCATTTCGTAAATTCAAAACACGAATCAAAAATACGCAAGTTCATTTCGTAAATTCAAAACATGAGCCAATAATTCACATATCTAATTTGTAAATGACAAAAAAAAAAAAAAATACACAAAAATTATTTGTAAATTCAAAACATAATTTGCAAATACACTAATCCAATTTGTAAATTTAAAACACGATTCAAAATATTATGGACTTGCACATTGCGATATTTATGCTGAAACGATTTATTGTGCAGCCCTAGTAAGTAATTTATTAAAGATTTGCAAAAATGTGGACAGCGCCCTCTAGTGGATTTGTCATCTGAAACATGCAATGAAACTTTCCCGGAGAAAAGAATACAGAGCAACAAAAAAGTGTTTTCAATTTGTGTCTCAACATGAAGGAATTAAGCTTATTAAGGAATTAAGGTATTAGTGCTTACAAATTTAAGTAGATTTAAGTCACAAAAAACCCTCAAAAATTGTTTTGTTTCAGCTTATTTGAACTAAGTTTGAACAAATAGCGAACACTATTTTTTGATTGTTTTCTGTAAAAATGCTAGGTTCTACACAGTTCATTCATTTTGTCTTAACACAAATCGATTAAGTTAACGTAACATACTGAACATAAAACAATTAAGTTGTGCAAAAAAATCTCAAAAATTGTGTTTTTTCAGCTTATTTTTGCTGAGTAGTTTGAACAAACTGCAAACATATTTTTTTGAGTGTTTGAACAGCGTGAGATCGAATCCATAATGACAGAATTTCTTACCGCTGGACCTTAAACATTCATCAGCCACCTCTGACCTGCTTGTGGATTTTGCTCACTGTAAAGGTGTTTCACTGTAAATATTACAAGTTCAAAAAGGAAAAAGGGTTTGGCATTTTGTATCTTTCGTGTCTCTTGTTTAATGAGATGGGATTGGGTGGCAGCTGAACAGCGCTGAAAGCACTCTGTGTTGTGTACGATATTGACAAGCACATTATGCCCGTGGGGAGAAGTCTTGGCTAATGCTTCAGTATGTCAACATGTGCACAGTTGCAATGGAGTCATTAACAGCAGCAGCAGAAGGGCATGGCAGTGTTAGTGTGGTAGCTATTACAATCACGTCTTGTTTTACAGTAGCGCTGCATTTCTGAATGACTCAGTCCTCAGGCCACAATCACTCAGCCTCAAACTTTTACCACTCGGTTTCTTTGGAACGAATTCAGATCCTCTGTGTAAACTTTCCCTCTTTGAGCACGAATTGGTAATTGTACTGGACTGGTTTCCATGTAGCCAGGTCAGTCTCAAAAATAATACATTTACAAAATATAATTCATACATTTACAACACGACTTACATTTACAAAATCCAATTAGTAAGTTTAAAACACGATTTGTAATTACACAAATCCAGTTTGTGAATTCAAAACACGATTCATACATACACAAATCCTATTTATAAATTCAAAACTCGATTTAAAAATACACAAACACAATTCATAAGTTCAAAAGACGATTCAAAAACACAAATCAAATTCATTAATTCAAAACATGATTCAAAATACACAAATCCAATTCGTAAATTTAAAACACGATTCAAAAATACACAAAATGCAATTTGTAAATTCAAGACACGATTTAAAAATAAACTTCATAAATTCAAGACAAAAATAAAAAATACACAAATTCAATTCGGAAATTCAAAACACGATTCAAAAATACACAAGTGCAATTTGTAAATTTAAGACACGAATAAAAAATACACAAATCCAATTTGTAATTTTAAAACATGATTTAAAAATACACAAATCAAATTCGTAAATTCAAAACACGATTAAAAAATAACTTCGTAAATTCAAGACACGAATCAAAAATACACAAATTTAATTCTTAAATTCAAAACATAATTCAAAAATACACAAGTGCAATTTGTAAATTTAAGACACGAATAAAAAATACACAAATCCAATTTGTAATTTTAAAAAATGATTTAAAAATACACAAATCAAATTCGTAAATTCAAAACACGATTAAAAAATAACTTCGTAAATTCAAGACACGAATCAAAAATACACAAATCTAATTCTTAAATTCAAAACATGATTCAAAAATACACAAATGCAGTTTGTAAATTCAAGACACGAATAAAAAATACACAAATCCAATTCGTAAATTCAAAACCCAATAAAAAATTTACATCGTAAATTTAAAACTCGAATCAAAAATACACAAATCCAATTCGTAAACTCAAAACACGAATCAAAAATACACAAATTAAAATTGTGAATTCAAAACACGAATCAAAAATACACAAATCCAATTCGTAAATTCTTAACTCGAATCAAAAATACACAAATCCAATTCGTAAATTCAAAACACAAATCAAAAATACACAAATCCAATTCGTAAATTCAAAACACGAATCAAAAATACACAAATTAAAATTGTGAATTCAAAACGCGATTCAAAAATACACAAATCCAATTTGTAAATTTAAAAAAATCATGCACAATTCAAAGATATCTCACAGCAATTCGTAACTTTTTGATTTAGTGGCTAATTTGTATGCAGTTTTACAATCTCATTCATACAATTTATTACGATTGGCTAATCCTCAAATTACAGTTGGGTTTAGGGGTAGGGGTTCGTACGGAGGTGCCATGCCTCCTTTTAAAACTCAACCTATACAAATTCGTACGAATTAACCACTAAACTGACATGTAAAACTAACATGTAAAACAGTTACGTTTCTTCATGAGATCAGGCTGATTTGTTACCTTTATTTTATTAAACTAATTAGTATACACATAAAAAAAAAACACTCCACGTTCGTGGGGTGGAAATAGGCATATTTGAAAACTCCACTAGAGTTAAACATTTAAAAGGTGCTTTTACTTAGTTACCTAGTTTTTGAGTGCTCCATAGCATCATTGTGCCAGTACAACAGAAAAAAAAACTTAATTATTATGCTGGAATGGAAGTATAGTTCCTAGCCATATAAGTCTAAAAATAGCTAATTTTATTTTCTGATGGTCTTAGTGCAAGCTCTAAATTGGAAAATTATTAAAATTATTTTTTTTATTTTTGGAGGGACATGCTAATGGTCTAATCTGATTCAATAATCTATGCTAAGCTAAGCTAAAAGTGCTGCTTCCAAACCCAAAATGGTAAGTCTTAACTTTTTAACTCTAGGGAAGTTGTAAAATGAGTCTATTGCCAAAGAAAGTGGAGCGTTCCTTTAACATTTAATAGTCATTTTACATTTTAGCCTGCTCTAAAATCCTGTCTCTTTCATGTGTTTCTCCAAAAATGTGTCCCGTTCACTTTCCAAGTCATCGCAGTGCTGCACACTCGGCCTTTGGCTCAATGCACAAGAAGTTAACAGTTATTGTTGGCCCTGAAGGAGAATGCAAGCTTTATTGCAGTGAACTGGATAAAAGCCAGGTTCCTCTGACAGTAATAACAGGGAACTTCTTCTGTGGCCCGTATATGTTTTATAACATCAACAAAAAATCTTTAATGTGCATTCTTGCAGAGGTCAACATCAGGGTAAGAGAACATAACCGCTACTTCTTTTGCCTTTCCACTGCTTCTTTTGCTGGTTTCACTCACTCTCTCACCTCTCCGTATGCACCAGACACCTTCTAATAATCACTGTATGCTTTTTGGAAAACGTACAATTCTGAATGTGCACCACACAGGTGAGTGGGCTTGACAAACCACCTGCAGGACACACTCTCTCATCAAACGCATCTGTTGAACTGCATCCCAATCATGACAAATACTGCAGAAGACCTATTGAAACCCACAAGATTCTCATAGAATCGGTCAAGTTTGGTGAAGGAAAAGTCATGGTTTGGGGTTACACTCAGTATGGGGGCGTGCGAGAGATCTGCAGAGTGGATGGCAACATCAACAGCCTGAGGTATCAAGACATTTGTGCTGCCCATTACATTACAAACCACAAGAGAGGGCAAATTCTCCAGCAGGATAGCGCTCCTTCTCATACTTCAGCCTCCACTTCAAAGCTCATAAAAGGTCAAGGTGCTGCAGGATTGGCCAGCCCAGACACCAGACATGAACATTATTAAGCATGTTTGGGGTAAAATGAAGCAGGATAAGTCAGATC